ATGTCTACAATTTTGCGTGCATGCCTCAACTATTCAGACATCAGACTGCCAATAACAATTTCTTGCCATGAATTTAAACCATCACTCGAACTCCATTATTTTTGAAATTTAATTTTTTGTTGATTATTAATTACTGCGCTCACTTCCGTTGTCGTACGAAAGCGTACCATGAGTCTTTAAGGAAAAATCCGAACAATTTCAGTGTTTTTGATTAATTCTTCAACTTACTATCTAGTGTGCTGTCTTACCCGTAAAACTCCCCTTATCACCATTCACGTGTGATACGATCCACAGTCTACCGACAGCAAAGTGGTTTCCTTCTCTATACCGTTGTCACAAGGAGAATGCTTTAATATAGCCAAAGCTATAGGCACCTGAGCTACGAGGCTCCACCGGACGACGCGATTTTAATTACTTTTGGGTCATGTTCACCCGGCCAACCCAAGCTTAATTTTTTATCTGAAACTTCGATCTTGCTTGTTTCATTGGAATGTTGTCTGGGAACTGGCTTTTGTGCAAATGATTGCGTTTTCCCTCCAAATGTCTGTTTCGACGCTGTCATCGACTGAATTATAACTACCAGTTTTGGACTTGCAACCTACAGCTTATAACCTAATTCGAAATATTGAGCCTTTAGAACTGCATTAAACTGCCAAACGTCGTAGTACTCCACATCATATGGCTGTGAACGAAAATAACAGCGACAAATAGTTATTAATCGCAGTTTGCTCCAAAGCACCGTCGATAACCAACCGCTATAATGTGCGGAATTTTATCCCGCCGTCGCTCACGTTTAACATATGGTAGTGTCCGCCTGGAAATTTTGGTTCAATTTATTTTTAATTTTATGGCTGACACGCAACCAAGCGCAGGTAACGCATTTTTCTGCCGTCTGCGTTTTGACAAACTTCACTTAAATCTGCAATGCATTGAGCAAAATATTTCTCTTTAATGTAGACTAGAGGCGTAAAAGCTTTTGACATATTGCAAAATCTCTGATTTTGACTAAAACCACGGAGTGTTAACTAGTTCTCGGTGTTTTTAGGATGCTGGCTGCCTTTATAATTAGATAAGTGCACGCAAATGCTTTTACTGCTTGTTACCTAATTTGTACTAAATTACTCTCCAAAGAAACCATAAATTCAAGTTTTGTTTATAGGGGGAAATTCAGCCATCCGCGCCTCATTCATTCGCCTTGGACCCCATAAGATGATGTTACTCTAACCGCGGCCACAGGATAACA